GGTTTGGCTAATTCCTAGAACTGAATAAAGCCAAAGCTGGCATCCCCAGCAGCAAGAGGGAGTAGAGAACTCTGTTCCTGATCCTGCCACCCCTGCTGCTTCCAACTCTTTGTTCCCACTAGATTCAGTAAAGTATCCAGATTTACCCTTGGGGAGGTCCCTTTCTCCTCTGACTTCAAGTCTCACCATTCTTGAGTTAGATGTTCTGTCCCATCCCAGCAGCTGGTCCCTCCTTCCCCAATCCTTTGCCTGAATAATTCCTAATTCCATTTTAGTCCAAATGCCTAATAGAGACCCTGTAGGGGTTAGGGTAGGGGGTGTCCATTCTTATTTGCTAGTTGAAGGAAGGAAGGAACCCACGTGATAGGAGTGGGGCAGAAGGGGCAAAAGGATCAGGTAGAACTGGGTTCAAATCTCTGCTCCTCATCGACTAGCTGTGTGGCCCTGGGCAAATCACCTAGCTTCTCTAAGCCCCAGTATTTTGGTCTGTGAAATGGGATACCTGGACTAGCAGATGACATAATGGTTATGTCTCTGGACTCCCACATAGTTAACCATGGTTTGAGTCCTAGAGCTGGCAGTATAAAACTCACACCAGGCATGCATGTGTGCCCAAGATCCCAAGAGGAGAATAGAGAAGGGATTACAGTATGGCCATCCCCCCCGGGGGGTGATTTCTCACTTTCTGTCTCTCTGTCTCTCCAGTGAGTGCACATGCCCCATAGCAAAAATCTCTCTCTAAAAGAAAAAAAGGATACCCAATGCCTACCTACCTGGGCCTGGGTTATGGTCAGGTTCAACATTGCCACCGTGTATGGAGTGTGGCATGGTGTCTGCTGCCTGCCAAAGGGTTCAGCAAACTGGTAAGAACTTTCTTCCAAGTCTCCACACCCCTGAGTTTGTGCATGGTGGTGTTGCATGGTGGCTTCTGTGACTATATCCAGGTTCTTGGTGTTTCGGACAAAGAATTGAATGAAACACACCAATAGTGAAAGCAAAAGAACCAATAGTGAAAGGAAAAGGGTTTATTAAGTAAAAGCAGAAGTACACTCCTGAGAGGTAGGAGTGGGTCTGAGCAGACAGAATGGCTGGGAAGGCCCCGGCAAGTTATATTCTGTGAGGTTTATAATTTTTAAATCTAGGTCATGTCGGTTGGTCATTGGCTGGGCCCACTGACTGGTCTCATCTCATTGGCTCTATCAAATGTGGCTTAACTAGACATCCCCTTCTAATCTGCTTACATTACCTTGGGTGGAGAATTTTCTGCCCTGAGTGGGTTTTCTATCTAGCCACAGAGGCGGATGCCCCCATCCTTTTACCCACTTCCATTTGCCAGCTTTCTCCTGCCTCAGTGGGACTTACCCCTTCAGGGCCCTGGGTCTCTGGCGCTACCCAAGGTCCTGTGCCAATCCCAAACTGCTCAAGGCTTGGCTTGTCCCACAAGGAACCAGACATGGGAAATAGAACTGCTTCCCTGCAAGAGGAACTTACAGGTCACCTATTCTGTCTAGCCCCCTCTCTGGGGGTGTTGGCCTCCCTTCCCCCATCCTTCATCTTGGCCAGCCTCAAAGGACAACCCACAAGACAATTCAAGCAAGAAGTTTCTGGAATTTGTGAAAAATAAGTCCCACACTGGTGGGGGAAGGGATCCTGGAGCCTGGGCACCCTGTACCCCCTGGGCCCACCTGCTCCCTGGAGAAGGGTCCCTGTACCTCCTGTTTTCCCAGCCCGGAGGCCTGCTGGTTCCCACATTACCACATGAATGGGGCGCTAGCCCCCCTGTCCACTTGAGCAAACAATTTGGCTAGCAAATTGACATAATTACCAGAGACAGAGAGGGAAGAAAGCTGTCCCCCACCCCCTTAGCCCCCCAGCCGGTAGCTCCCGCAGAGTTCCTCCCGGGCTTTGTGGGCCCCGTTGCTCAGGGCTGATTAGAAACCTTGTGGCCTTTTCAAGAGCCCTAAGTGATTGGTCCCCTTAATCTGATTACAATTTGCAGAGCCCCTTCAGCTGCCTCTGAAGGGCTGTTCTCAAGCACCCCGCTCGATCGTGCACGAGGGCACCCACGCACACACTGGCATGCACGCACACACTTAGCACCCACTTGGGCTTGCTGGGGGCAGGGGAGGCCTCTCCCATCTCACTCCCTCAGTCAGGGCCTCTGAGTTCTGGTCGCTGTCTGCAAGTCCCATTCCCAGTGCCCTAAACCTCAAGTCCACACAGGGGCTGACCCTGCCGGAACGCACTGGGTCACCTGTCTTTAGGGTGTCCTGCACAGAGGCAAGGCCCAGGCCAGGGGCGTGTGCACATACACACACACATACACACACTAGGGCACACCTTCCCGTCACACATCCCTCTTCCAGGTGGTGCCCGAGCACCCAGGACCCTACTGGCTGACCCCAGCCAGGGCAGCCCTCTCTGTACAGTAGTTTCTGGGGCTCCTTGAGTCACAGCTCCCAGGGGATTAGGTCCAGCAGGCAGCCTAGACACTGCATAAGCGCAGGCTGCCCAGCCCCCACCCCCGAAACTTGGCTCTCAGGAGCCATAGTCAATGGCCTTGGCCCTCCATGTCCAATTTGTAGCTCTTAATCCCGGGGAATGAGCCACAATCCTCCTGTTCCCATAGTTGTCCCTGGCTCTCACAGGCCCCAACCTGGCCTCCCATCCCAGATGGAGCCCCCCCCTCCCGCCTACCTCTGTACGGCAGCTCATGGTGTAGGCAGGCTGGGGCACAAAGCTGGGGCAGAAGGGGACAGCTAGGGGACTCTGCTAACCACCTGTGCCCTGGGAGGTGAGCTGGGCAGGTGCATGGGGATGGGGAACATGTGTGGGGCCCTCTGGAATGACACCTCAACCAGCTGCACCCCTATCTTTGGGACATCCCATCCTGGAGGCCACCAGAAGGGTACTCTCCACTTAGGAGCCCCACCCTTTGCTCCCACCACCCTAAGATCATCTCTGGACACCAGGCTGGGACTGGAAGCCAGAGTGCAGGACAGTGGAGCCCAGGTTCAGACACCGGATCAGAGGGACTAAGGCTCAATCAAGTCTGCCGCTAACAACCAGCACCCAGCACCCTTGCACCACCTTTGTTAACACCCACGGCCTTGCTGGCCTCAGTTTCCCCACCTGTGAGGGTTGTCAGGAGGGTAGATGGCACCGTGCCCACTGCCCAGTGTAGTAAGTGCTGATGTCCTGCTGCCCTTCACACTCACAAGTGGGAGAGCCTTGTAGAGTCTGGCCTCAAAGGCGGGAAATGAGGAGCAGCCTCCCAGGCCTGGGTAGCCCCAGGGGAGAGAAACTCCAGGCTCTACAGGGCTCGGGAGGAACTTTACAGCTGGGCTTTCCAGGACCAGCCCTCCAGCTGCCAACATCTGTAAGCCCTTCCACCCGATCACGTGTCCCAGCGCTGATTCGGGAAACACGGGGCCTCCACCCAGCTCTTCCAGTATGTAAGGAATGGGCATGAACTCCCAAGAGCAGCCTCCACGTTGCGTGGAGGAGGGAGCGGCTGCAGGAACCTTGCCTTCGGTGTAGCACCCAGGAACCAAGTCATGTGATCGGGGAAGGCTCACCCCAGAGCCTGATTCTCCGTGGAGCCTAATACTGTTCCAGAGATTGGTAGCAGGACCTTAGGGCATGTCGGCTTCCGGAGGCTTCGGGAGGCGCTCCGCGCCCTGCGACCCGGTGTGCCGCTAGGCCCCTCCCAGACCCGGCTGGGCGTGCCGGCTGGGCTGGGCCAGGGGAGGGAGGCTGGGGCACCGATCAGCTGAAATCAAAGCCGCCGTGCCTCTCCCCGCCACGCTGCACCCCTGCAGAGCCACCGCGCACCTCCTCCTTTGTCACAATGTTTTTCAATCCAGTGAAGCAAACTGTCCAATTAGAGCCGGGGCCTCCAGCTTCCATCTTTGCCGACGTTTAATTAACACGCTTCTCTTGGCAGCTGCTGACAAGTTCCAGAAACAGGTTGTAAAGGGTTTTTGTCTTTACCCAGCATGGAAAATGAGGGGTGTTACATCGCGGGAACATGAATAGGTTGCATTTCAGCTCCCTCCTCCCATCCCCCCTGCTCTGGTACGGAATGAAGCAGTGAGTGACTGAGTGAGTGAGTGTGTGTGTGAAATGGAAGGGGGCGGGTAGGGTGGAGTTGGAGGCAGGAGGGACTGACCTCCCTCTCCTCTTACCCCTTCTTCCCAGAAGCCTTTGCTCCACAAAAGCTCTGAATGCTGCCTCTTACTCTCCAGCAGCACACTTGCATCTCACTTCTTTTCTAGCCATACCCAAACTGGCCATGTTGATTCCTGCCCATGGGTCTCTGCCTGTGCTGTCATCTTTCTGGTAAACTCCTATTCAGCTTCCAGAACCCTTCTCAGGTGGCCTCCCTTTGGGCACCCACCTGGGCACAGTCTGCTTTTCCAGCCACTCCTGTCAGAGTTCAGGGTGAATACTGTGTGTCAGGTCTGTCCCCCAACTAGAAGAAGAAATCCCTGTGGGCAGGAGCAGTGGTTAGCCACCAGGGCAGCAGGGGTCTGACAGATCTACATTCCTGAAACCCTCCCCCGCAGTACAGGGAGAGCAGGGCTGCTTGACAGAGAGGCAGGAGGGAAGGGCCAGGGAGGGGAGATGGGCCCAACCTCCAGTCTGCCAGAGTGTTCCCGGCAGTGCCATGTGTAGGGGGCCCAACCTCCAGTCTGCCAGAGTGTTCCCGGCAGCGCCATGTGTAGGGCACAGCAGGAAGGCAGCTTTTTCCAGGAGCCAGTTTTGGGAGTGGTTGGTGTGAGGTACGAGGGACCTTGTGCTCAGATCCCAGTCTGGCCCCAAGCCCTGCTAGTGGCCTCAGGCAGAAGGCAGGCTCCAGCCCCCTCTATCCTTCCTTTTCAGCCTGGGGTGGTTCTCCTTACTGGGTCGGTATCATTGAGGCTGAGGGCGAGGGTTGGAGCAGAAAACCAGGCCTCCCAAGTCCCTTACTCTTCACACTCCCCCACGGAGCATTCACACTCATTGTACAAAGAAGGTTTATTTGTGGAGGCTACCACTCACATGACACAGAGCGGTCTGAGGGCATGGGAAGTGCTGGCGCAGGCCTAGGCAGGGGTGATGGTGGGCAGGTGGTGGGCTCCTGGGGAGGGCTTAGGTCGAACCCCAGGCCCCAGCCCCACTGTGGGCCTGTTCTTAGGACCCCAGGCAGGGACAGCCCTCTTGCAGGCAGAACCTGGCTGGCTGGGCCACCCGTGTCATCTGTCGCTCCTCTTCCTCTAACCTCAGACAGGCTCCCTGGGATGAAGGGAGGGAAGGGCAGAGGTGCCCTGGTGTCGGGCCAGCCAGAGGGCGCTGCTCGCTGGCTCTGTGTCCCCAGTTAAGTTAGTGCTGGCTTCTTCTAGAGCCCTGGGACAGTCTGGAGCCTGCAGGGAGAGAGCCAAAGCCGTGAGCACTGCTGAGTCCTGCCTCTTGGCATCTTTTTCTTCTTCAGACGGGATGGACAACTGGTCACAGCCTTGCTTTTCTCTTCCCTTAAACCCCAGCCTCCTCTCCTACCATGTCCCTCAGCCTCTCGCCCCAGGGCTAGTAAAGGTCTGGCCTCTGAGAAAGTCAGGTATCTAATAAGAGCAGTGAGCGTGACCTAGAAAGATCCTAGGTTCTTTACTTGCCAGATGTATGGCCTTGAAGAGCTCAGGCCACTCTGAGCCTTAATTTCCTCCATTTAAAAAGAGGGCAGCAATGACACGTGCCTTCAGCTATCTCAGAGGGCTGGATATGAAAGCCATGAGTAAGGGTTCAAGGACCAGGTAACTGATGGAAAGAAGGGAGGTGGGACAGAGGACCTGATCTGAGGCAACCCACTGAATAAAGCCAGGTCTGTCAGCTCCACCTTTACAGATGGGGAAACTGAGGCACAGGCTCTGAGATGAAGATACTCAAAGTCTTAGAGCCAGCAAGCACAGTCACGAGGTCCACTGTGCCCAGGGGCCTCCCTTGTAGACTCCTTCCAGCCCAGCGTGCTGCTATACCATTCCACATCTGTCTAGAATGCCTGTCTAGACAGTCTCATTTCTTTTGCTTTTCTTTCTTTCTTTCTTTCTTTCTTTCTTTCTTTCTTTTTTTTTTTCTTTTTTTTTTTTTTGAGAGGTTTTTCGCTATAGGGTGCATGCGCTCGCCAGACAGACAGAGAGAGACATAGAGACAGAAAGCGAGAAATCACCCCCCCAGGGGGGATGGTCATGCCGCAATCCCTTCTCCTCCATTCTCCTCTTGGGATCTTGGGCACGCACGCACACGCGCCCGGCGTGAGTTTTAAGCCACCAGGTCTGGGACGCGAACCGCGGTCGACTACGTGGGAGTCCAGCGACATAGCCATTACGCTAACTGCTGGTTCCCTCTTTTTTAGTTAAAAAATTTTTTTTCCAAGGTGTGTGTATGCTCATCAGAGACAGAAAGACAGGGGGTGGGGGGGGGTGAGGGAGAATGCATCCCCAGTGAGGTATGGTCATGCTGCAGTCCCCTCTCCTTTTCTCCAGCTTGTGGGGATTTTGGGCACACACACACAAGTGTTTTCCAAGCTGCAAGAACCAGGATTCAAAATACGCTGTAGGCCATGTGGGATTCAGCTTCCCTTATCCCATAGGATTCTAGACCTCCTTTTTTTTTTCCCCCCCTTTAGTATTATTTATTTAATTTTCTTTATCATTATTATTTAATTTGTTATAGGGCACATACACTCACTAGAGAGAGACAGAGCAGAGAGAGAGGGAGAAAGTGAGAAAGCAGACCACCAGGTCCGGGAGTTGAGCCATGGTTGGCTATGTGGGAGTCCAGCACCTTAACCACCATGCTACCTGCTGGCCCCCCAAACCTCTTTTCTTAGACTCCTTTATTCTTCTTTTCCTCATCACTGGGAACATCTGATTCAGAGAGCTGGGGGCCCACTGGGAGAACCTACCTATCACCCCCCATGGACAAGCCAACTCCATGCTCACCTTCTTCTCACCTGCTCCAGGACCTTAGGGTGTCAAGTGTGCTGGGGGTGCCAAGTGTGACGGGGGTGCCAGATGTGCTGAGGGCACTGAAGTTGGTAAGGAGGGTGCTGAGGATACCAAGGTTGCTGAGAGTATTGAAGGTCCCACAGGAGCTGAGGTTGCCTGGAGCTTATTGGTGGGGTCCTCGGGGGTGTAGACAGGACTCTTCTCATGAATCTGCAAAGAGAGGAGGAAACTCCAGAGCTCTGGTCCCTGCCCAGGCAGGGAATCCCTCCCTGGTGGAAACAGAACAGCCGGTGCTAGCCAGAAGCAGCAAGTGTGTGCACTGAGTGCCACCTTGTGGTTGCAGTGCAGATCACATGCCATGGAGAGCAGGGCTGTCCAGCCCAGGTATCTTCCCCTGTCTCTGCTGGACACTGTCCTGGTGCTGGGGCACAGTCGGACAGAGACAGGGTCCTTGCCCCACCAGAGCCATGGCAAGGATTCAGACGAAACACACAGTGACCATAAGAGTTGTCAGTGCACACGAGAGACTTATACCTAGCCTAGGGGATTCTGGAAGTTTAGCCTGAGTCTTATTTATTCTTTAAGTTTTGCTAATAGGGTATGTGTGCTCCCCAGAGAGAGACAGAGAGAAAATGAGAAATTACCCCCTCCGGGGGGCGGGGGAAGCCACACTGCAATCCCTTCTCCATTCTTCTCGGGATTTGGGGCACATTTGTACACACTCCTGGTGTGTTTTTCTTTTCTTTCTTTTTTTTTTTTTTTTTTTAAGTTTTTGCTCAAGGGCACGTGTGCGCACATGAGAGAGAGAGAGAGAGAGAGAGGAGAGAGAAGTCACCCCTCCCAGGGGGATAGCCACAACACAATCCCTTCTCTTCCATTCTCCTATCAGGATTTTGGTCATGCACTCATGCGCACACACCTGGCATGTTTTTCAAGGTCTGGGACTTGAACTGTGGTAAAAATTTAAGACAAACAAAAAGATTATGGGGCCAGTCATGGTCTTGTGGCTAAGGAGGCTAAATCGCACATGGCAAATGCACCATTTGAATCATGGACCCGGCAGCTCGAGAACCACACCAGGCATGTGTGCGTACATACCCAAAATCCTGAAAAGAGAAATGGAGAAGGGATTGTGGAATTCCCTTGTCCCACTAGGGGTGCTTTCTCACTCTTTCTCTCTCTGATGAGTGCCTGCTTGTAGTGAAATTACCCTACAAACTTCAGGGTTTTTTTTTTTTTTAAAAGATACATAGCCAAATGAAAGGCGCAGGCCACAGACATAGGCTGGCCCCAGTCTTCTCGTGAGGGGGTCCTGCAGTGAGTTGGCGGCAAGAGGTACCTTCTCTCCTCCTCCATCACTCAGTGCAGGAAAATGCCTCCAGAAGTAATTCGTGGGCAGAGAGGCCAGCTTGGAGTCACAGAAAGCACGTTTTCTACACACCCAGCATGTTCAGGGAGGTCCCAGGATGTGAACCCAGGTCTTTCCCATGTGGGAACAGGTTACCGCTGCGCCACTGCCTGGCCCTGTGGCATATTTTTAAAGAAACTTGAGTTCTGCGATGTTCCATTACTTTCAGCTTCTAGGAGAATGATTCTCAAGTTGTATTTTTGTACCAGTGCCTTAGATGTTGAAAGTGGTGGATCGTCATGGAAATCGGGATCACTGGGGACCTTTGGTACTTGCGAAATTCCTGGTCTTTCCCATGGGAATCTCTGAGCTACCTGGGAAGCTGCATTTTTACAAGATTCACTGTGGCAATTGAAATTGAGCACCGCCCTATGATTCCAAGCCCAGGCTGGGTTTTTGAATTAGCTGCGAGGTTTAAAAAAAAAAATATCCAAATGTCCAGGCTGTTCCCCAGAACGATGAAATTTCAGTCTCTGTGGGCTAAGACCTGGGCTTTGGAATGCTTTTAAAACTTCTCCAGGTGATGCACCTGTACATCCAAGGGGTGAAAACTGCAGGGTTCGTGCAGTGGTTCTCTGGCATGGTTTCTTTTTTTTCTTTTTGAGAGTTTTTCTCTGTGCACTCCACAGAGAGACAGAAAGTGAGAAATCATCTCCCAGGGGGGATGACCACGCCGCAGTCCCTTCTCCTCCATTCTCCTCTCGGGATCTTCGGCACACATGCACACACGCCAGGTGTGAGTTTAAGCCACCAGGTCCAGGACTCAAACCACGGTCAACTACATGGGAGTCCGGCGACATAGCCATTACACCAACTGCTGGTCCCTCTAGCATGGTTTTCATTAGAATCACCTAGAGGGCTTGTTAAACCAGTGCTGGCCCCACCCCCTGAGTTTGGATTCACCAGGTCTGAGTGGGACTCGAGACTGTGTATTTCTAACGAGTTCCCAGGTGACTCTGATGCTAGCCTGGACCGAACCTTGGCAATCGTTGCTCAGGAATAAAGCTGACCGAGGCCTTTAGGGACAGAAGGAGACCCCAGCTGCAGTCCTGACTGTGGGTTGCTTCTGTGACCCTCTCCTCCCCCAGGTGTGTAGAAAGATAGACACACACCACCCCTCCAAGCCCTGAGATCCAGAGGGGAGAGGGGGGAAGAGGAGGGATGCCGGGAGACTCAGCCTCCCAGAGGGAGTCATAGTATGAAGCAGGCTGTCTCCCTCTCTGATTCTGGGCCCCCAAACCCCAGCCTGGGTGATGCAGGTGTGAAAGGTTGCAGCTAGCTGTCCACAGAACTCACCTCCCAGTAGATTGCATCTTCGAAGCAGTTCTCATCAGCCGGTTGTCCCCAGAAAGGCAATCTCAAAATGAGCCCTAGAGAAAGTCAAGGGCCTGGAAGGTCAAGAAATACTTTCTCTCTGCCTACCTGGTCCACTCTTTTTCTGGGCCAAAAATTCTGGTGGGGAGGCCTTCTCCCCAGTTCCCCAGGGACTGGGATCTCCAGGCTGGCCTCTGATCCATGCTTTGAGTTTCCTACCCAGGGAGCTCTGCAGCAGCCCCATCTCCTCTGGCCCAGCCACCCTCACTCACCCACGATGATGCCACCTGCCAGAGCCATGCCCAGGGACACCAAGAGGCCCAGAATCTGGAAACTGCCCTGCATTCTTGAGGTCCAGGATGTCCTTAAACCTTGAAAGTCAAAGGAACGGGCAAGCCTGGGATGGAGACAGGGGCAGGTCAGGATCCCACAGAGAGACCAAGTAACCTCTAGCTGCCACCCCACAAATGTGAGTGGCTACCAGGGCTCCTTAAGGAAGCTCCACCACCCCTGTGCCTCCACCACACTTACCCTGGTTGTCCATACGCATCGGGCTGGGCGAAGGTGGCTGTCACCGCACCCACGATGCCACCTATGATGCCAGGGATGCCATGCAGGTTGTGAATGCCACATGTGTCCTGGATCCGCATCCGGGACTCCAGGAAGGGCTAGAGAGGGGAGGCAGGTGCTGTTCAGACCAGGCTGCACCAGGGGCTGCGGGGAGGCCAGGATTCTGGATGCTCTTGAATGCACCAAGACCCAGGGTGACCATCTCCCTCCCTGGGAACGTCCCCGCCCCCTAACTCAGGAACAGAGACCTTAGCATTCTCCCCCACCCCCCACCCCAGCCCCCTGCCCAGAGCCCT